GGGGTGATGGGAGGGGGTGTGGGCCCTGGGGAGATGGCAGGGCATGGGGGCCCTGAGGAGATGGGAGGGGAATGGATTCAGAGACGGAGTAAAAAGGTGGATATTCATTAGTTGAAAAGATGACAGACCACAGTAGGCCACAAAAGAGAAAATGTGTGACTGATTTGCTCTGAGGTTGCATATCTGTGAATGGGCAGGCCAGGTATAGGTAGGTCATGGTCATAGCTGGTAGAACTGTCAAGGATGAAAGCAGAGTGAGAAAGAAAAGGGATTTGATGTATATAAAAGCAAGTCCCCATTCTGAACACATGACACTATGTCCAAGGAAACAGAAGACAATGGCAACAAGGCTGGGAAGAAGATGTTACAATCACTGAGGGAGGAGAGGTGCTCACGGATGTTGTAGACCAGAATCTAACAAGAGTGAGGAGCAAGTCAGGGATGCTGTAGACCAGGATCTAACAAGAGTGAAGCAGCAAGAGAAAGACAAAGAGGTGAGGCCACAGAGAATGTCGGGGTGTCTTCTGGCAGGTTTTACAGACCTTCCTAGCTTCACTCCTTGAGCTCACATGGAAAGAATTAACCTAAGGGGTTTTTTTTCCTTTAAAAAGGTTTAAGTATTGAATTCATTTTGTCATAGTCCACTTCAGGCTAAAACCAGTGGTATGCTGGCAGTGCACTGGGGGTGGGAGAGAGGCGAGGAGAGAGAACTGTGATTGATAGCATTTCTTTATTTCTGTGGCTAGAAACACTGTCACAGGGTCAATTTCAAACTGGAAGTGCAGCGGCTGCCCTGCAGATTAGACAGGCTCGGTTCTGCAGGTGGCATTGGTTGCTCCTGTGCAACAGCCTCAGAGTGGTCTTCTTTCTTTTACTTTTTTACATCTTCTTTAAATAGATTTTTTAAAATTTTCTATATCACATTCAAGCAAGTTTCTGCTGAAAATTATCCAAAAGCGTTTGGAACAATATGTCAACAGAGAACTGCCAGATGTGCAGGCTGGATTTAGAAGAGGTCACGGTATACTAGGGATATTATAGCTAATGTTCGACATTGGCTCTCAAGAGTACTGAAGTGCAACGACGTCAGGCTGGAGACTAAGATACGCCTGATCCAGGCTTAGTCTTTGCAATTACGTGCTATGCATTGGAGAGTTGGACTGTGACTAGGGATGATAGAAAGAGAATTGATGCCTTTGAGCTGTGGTGCTGGAGAAGAGTGTTGGACTGCTAGGAGAACAACATTAA